GAGGGGCTGCCTGCTGCCGCCATGGCCTGGGCGGCTGTCACAGGCACCAGGCTCACGGCACGGCGCTTGCCCGGGCCAGGGAGGACAATCCCTTGCTGAGCTGGTGCATTCCAGCCAGCGGCTCCGCTCACGCGTCTGCTGGCCTGGCTCTGCCCCTCTTCTGCGCCTGGGGCCTGGCACGACACTGCAAATTCCCGCCTCTGGGATCAACAGCAACAGATTATTTCCCTAATTCCTCCATGCCTCGCTACTCCAAGCGCCTTACCCAGAACAGTCTCGCCTGGCAGCAACAGGCTCCCAGCCCCAGATCTGACCCATTCCTCCCTCTCAGCCAAGCGGTGAGATTAGCAGGATGTTAATTCCCCTACCTCATGCCAGAGTGCGGGAAAACACTGCCAGGAAGAGGCGATCAAAACCCGGACATTGCTCAACATCCCAGCCTGGGCAGCGGGCTGGAGCCTGAGCAGGGCAGAGAGAGAACTGCGGGTTCACCAGCAAGAGACTGAGGGAAGACCCGGGGGCTGTGAGATCCAGCACTGACTGCAGGCTGGGTTGCAACCCAAACCCTGACAGAAGGCTGCAGGGGCCTGTCCCAGCTACCTCCAGCCCTCTTACTCTCCCCTGGCTGTGGGGGACTGGGTCCCCCAGGTCTCTTCGCCCTTTCCCAGTGGCATCCCACCCCGAACTGGGGCTGCAAGCAGAGCAGGAGGTCCCAGCTATGCCCGGGGAACACTGGCCACCTGCCACAGTGACCTGCATGCACCGCAACAAAAACAGCCCTTTGGGTTGGTTTATTTTTTCCTCAGTATGTTTATTTTGGTTATGTATTATTCAGATTAAGAGAGAAAAAACAGGAGCTGAAAAGCAGTTTCCCTTCAGTATCAACAGTACACTGAGCCTTGCCCTAGCCTGGCTGAAGGACTGCCCCGGCCCCACAGCCCAAGTTCCCAGGCCCAGTGGCCAACCCAACAGCTTCGTTGCCACCTGGTGGCTACTGCAAAAAACGCTGAACTCCAGAAGCCCCCAGCTCCAGCTGGCATGGACCCCAGCCCAAGAGGTGCACCCCAGGGGGCCCCGGGCCACACACTGCTGCCCAGACTGGGCACAGCACCTACAAGCTCTTCAGGGCGCTAAGAGGAGGCAAAGGGCCCTGCACCCACTCCATTCCCTCCCCGGGAGGAGAAAAAAAATAAATACGGGGGGAAAAAAAAAAATACAAAAAAGTTTATTGCAAACTACTACAATAATTTATTGAAGCAAACTGCATGCGAGTGAAGGAGAGACATCATGGGGAAGAGGAGCTGCAGGAGGGCTGTGTCAGTTTTAGGATTTGAAAACAGGAGTGGCAAAGGGAGCTACACCAGTCTCTCCTGCATCAGGGATTAGCAGGCTGCGGTTAGAGGGCAGACAGGCAACTGGCCAAGGCCAGAAAAGAAAAAGAAGAGCTATGAGAGGTGTGCATGGAAGGACAAGGCAGGGAGTGGCAGGGATCAGAGGTGTCCAGGCTGAGAAGCAAACGAGCTGCTTGATCCTGCATCCCAGAAATGCAGCTGATGGCAATCTCTTTGCTCTGCTTGGGATGGTTGGGGCAGATGCAGGAGGAAGCAGCTTCCCTCATCTCCCAGCCAGGTGCCAAGTGTTGCATCACCAGAGGTGAACAAGCCCTTGACCCAGCATTTTAGTCCCATCCCTCAGAAAACAAAACCCCAAGCTCTCCATTTAGTGTTCTGTGCAAGGCTCTGCCCACTTCGCACCTCAGGCAAGGGGCAGAGAGGCAGGGCACGAAAAGCAGCTCCAGCAGCACAGTCTGCAGCAAGCACGGGGATGGCACAGCTGACCCGCACCACACAAGCCCCTCTGCTACTGGGGGCTGGGACCCAGGCCAGGAGATTTGCCACCACGCAACATGGCTTGACCAGCCCCAGGTCTTCCTGGAAAAAAAGGCCCACACTGCTGGAGGGTGAAACCATCAGAACTGAACTAGTCTCACTGTGCTGCAGGGGGAGGGGACTGGCTGGCCATTCGAAAGCTTCCTGCAGGAAATCACATTCATTTGACCCAAGCAAGAAATTGGATCATGGCAACTGAAGAAACTGGTTTAGTTTAACACCGTACCCACTGCAGACTTGACATCACTGTCCCAGTAGACCCAGGGTGCAAGTAAGGTGGTCCCTCATCGTTACCTCTAGGAGAGGCTCTTGGCCAGATGCATCTCCTGCAGGCATGGGAGCCACGCTGCTGTCACAGTGCAAGAATGTGGGATGCCCACACCCAGGGCAAAAGACACCAGGGTTGCAAACTGTTCAGCCACAAACCGCCCCAACACCAGAAGTGTTTCAACTTGCTCTGACTAAGCTATCAGTGTAAGGGAGGGAAGGGAGAGGGCAAATCAGGACAAATGAATGGCCCTATAAAAGCTGTCAGGCTTGGGCCACAGCTGGATTTCCAGGCAGCACAGGGGACAGAGTGGGTGTTCAGAGTGAGTTTCCTGTAAGGAATTTCCAATTAAATCCCATTCTATTGCGATTCTCCAGACCCCAGGTACTCGACTTTGCCTAGCTGCCGTGTGCTACGGACCAGTTTAGCTGATCTTGTGCTCAGACAAGATACTTCAGCTCTGATCCCAACCACATAAACCCAACAAAAAACCCAAGTAAACAAAAAGCCCAGGTTATTCTTCACCTCTTCCAAAAACACTACAAATTCAAGGCCACTGAATCTCCACACAAAGTTTCAGTTAAGAGCAAAAAAGATCCAAGTCTCCATACCAGACACATCACAACCTATGTAAACTTTTAAAAGGGCTCAGAGCTGTCCCAACTACACCAGCAGGCAACACCTGAACCACCACATTTCATGGAAAGCAGGGGTATTTGCACAGGAGAAGCTTTGAGCACATACATGACTGCACAACAGCCTGCCCCCAAAATGGATGGGGGCAGGAAGAGAAGCTGACAGCCCCATAGTCCTGCATCAGTCTATTGCCTTGGATAAACAAGCCTGAGACAACCACATCCAGTCCCTCCTTCTGTATCTTTGTCTAGTCCTGGAAAGGAGAGGCAGAGTTTGCTGAGGAGCACACCATCCCCCAGCAGCGAGCAGATCACAACTGTCCTAAGTCAAGAGAACAATTTCCTGGCTAATGATGTTCTTCCCTGAAAGGCTAGGGAGCAAGGGGAGGGCAAAAAGAGCATTTAATGCAAGGAGCTCACCCTGACCTGGGAGGGAGGGAGACAACAGCTAGCTGTTCCATCACTCACCGCATCCTCCCGCTAAAATGCTGCTGCAGAGACTCCCAGTACAAACAGGCTCTTCTCCAGGGGCTCTCCCTCTACTCTGGAAAAGCTGCAAGAGACATCAGACTCCAGAATGCTGCCTCCACCTGGGCTCTCTCAGCTGCCGTTAGGACAGCACCATGTGCTCCCTGCAGCTTGCTAGTGCGAAGAAGCTTGCTGGAAAATATCCTGAACCCCTTCCACCCCTTACGAACACAACTGAAAAATCCCAACCCTTTTTCAATCTATAAATAAGGAATCTTGTTACCACAACACAAAAACGAAGCATGTTCAAAGTGCAAATTACTGTCGTCAAACTGGGATGCTCCTCCTTGCCTCTCCCACGCAGGGCTCCCATAGCCCCCGGGCCTCTCCAAGCAAACATGATCTACGAGCCAGGGCGTTCCCTCAACTTCCTGCCAGAGCTAGAGCAGAGGAGCACGGTGGGGAGAGGGACGTGCGCTGCGTCACAGCTCGCCCTGCTGAGGGGCCCTAAAGTGCCAAGCCAAACTCCCAGCCCCGGGAAGAATGAGACTGCAAGGACCAGAGTGCAGCAATGCATAGAAGTCGGGACCGGGGCGAGAGGGAGTCCTAAGAAACTTGTCCAGAGCACATCCAACACTTTCTAGTTTGCAAGTGGTGCCACGTCAAGGAGCCAGAAAGACATCTGCCTTGGGGTGGAGCGGAGGGTTTCAGCAGTGCCCCCTCGCTTGGAGAAATCCATCGCTCAATCCAGCTTGCTCTGGTAATGGCAACACGTGCCCCTTTCTGCAAAGGAGCAGTGGGGGAGAGAGAAGTGGCTGGGAGAAAGAGGATGTGCTGTGATCCACACTGGAGGGGAGCAGACCCTTCGGTTATTTACTAGTTCTGTAAGTTTCGTTTAACTTTTCTCTCTTTCAGTAAATGTCTTTTTTTTTTTTTTTCCCCATTTAAATACAGAGTCCAAACTACCCCAGCACCTATGTGCTCCCCACCCACTAGGGTCCAGTGGAGTCTGAATCCTCAATGAGCACCTCTGTGGTGGCTCCCAGGATCTCTGTGTTCATGACCAGCCCCTCTGGGTTCGCACTGCTGCCAGCCCCTCGGGGTTCGCACTGCTGCCGCTGCCCACAAAGAGCTTGCCGTCGGCCACCAGGCTCACGCGCTCCGCCCCGCCGCAGTACGCCTTCGGCACCCCCTCGGGGCTCAGCAGCAGGCACTCCGCCGGGGCGGCGCTTCCCAGCGGGTCGGGAAGAAGGGGGAGGCCCTGGCCGTCGGTGGGCGGCGCAATGGCCTCGGGATTAGTGCCCAGGATGTCGGTGCTGGTGATCAGGGCACCTGCGTTGGCAGCCAGTGCTTCAGCAATAAGCACTTCAGGGTGGCTCTTGGCTTTGTGGGCCACAACACTGTCCTTCTTCTCAAATTTCTTGCCACAAATGTTGCACGAGAACTGGTAGAAGGAGTCCGCATCATGCTTCTTCATGTGCCAGTTGAGGGAAGCCTTCTGCCGGCAGGTGAATCCACAGATCTCACACCTGCGAGGGGAGAAAGGGGAGGTCACAAGAAAGGGACATCCCCACACATTTGTGAGGACAAGCGTAGCAAAGAGGCAGCCCAGGAAAACATCAAGGAGGCTCACTCCAGCTGTTCCAGTTTTATTTGCAGAGGGCTTATGTGACTCAGATCTCTACTGGGACACTGCCTCAAGGAGCAAGCAAGACAAGTGGCAGCTCAAACACTCCTAGTGGTGTGTGTTTAAAGAGAGCCGTGACACCAAGAACAGGTTCCAGTCCTGACTTCAGAACTACCCCTGATCTAAGGGCAGTACAAGAGCAGGTGTATCCAAGGGTATCTCCTCAAAGCAGGAGAGCAAGAGACAGGCAGAGGTACTCACTGCAAGGGCTTCTCGCCCGTATGGATCATTCGATGCACCGCCAAGTTATGAGAACTCTTAAACGCTCGGGCACAGTACTCACAGATGTAATCCCTTTGATCTAAAAAGCAACACCAGTTGGAACATTACTCTCCTGCAGACCTGCTCCCTTGCCCAGCTCCCACTTGTTGCAGGTAAAGCTGCCCAAGAAGCAGCAGAACTACAAGTGCTGGGGAGGCCAGTAGGCATAGCAAAGGAGGTGGTGTCCCACAATACAGCACAGCAAGCTGATAGGGAGAATTAAGGCATGATTAAGACTCTCCTAAGAGCCAACTATCCATTCTGACCAATACTGAACATCTAGCACATTAGAATAAAGCTTGGCTTAATTTATTCCTCAACATAACCCCTGGGTGATAGTTGCCAGGGTGTGAATTAGAAACTATATCCTGTTTCTTTCATTTCCTTATAAGACAGTAATCCATGAGGGAATAATAACCTGCTGCTGCAAATCCATCCCACCTGCCTTGGCTTCACTTTCCCCAGATGTTCTAGAGGCTTTTCCACTTCCCCCCCACCTACTCTGTCCACTGACCTGAGGAGGAGCTTTATCTGTTTCCCAACTCCCTGTACCTGTGTGGTGTTTGGCATGCCGCAGGAGCTGCTTCTGGAGCCGGAAAAGCCGACCACAGGAGGGATGAGGACACACGTATTTTTTCTTTAGCAAGTGCTGATACTTTATGTGATGCTATAAAGGAAGAGTGAAAGGTTGTAGACTCTCTTTACATGGTTGAGAGAACAGCTGAGACACATTGATCCCAGATGGCCCTGCAGCAGGTCACCAGACTCCACTGACAAGACACCTTTGTACCATGAACACGAAGGCTTTGATGTCCACTGAGAGATAAAACCCAAACAAACATGGACATCTAGCAACAGGACAGATACAGATACACACATGGCCACAACCGATTAAGACTACCAAAAAGACAGCATTAGAAATAAATGCTTCAGTGCCAGTGGAGGATTAGTTGCCTGTTCCAAATGGCCCTTTTGTGACCTCACACTTCATTCAGGAAGTGAAAAATCCCAACTAACCTGCAGGTAACGTGGGTGAGCCAAGACTGTGCCACAGCCTTCCATCTCACAGCGCACATACTGTATTGGAGGCTTCTTCCTAAGAAGTCAGCAAAGAAACAGGCAGTGTGATGAGCTGATGCGTCTGAAGCCAGGACAGCAGCAAGATAAATGAGTGTAAATGCAGCTTGATGATGTGAGAGCAAAGGATCACTGCTCCAGTCTTCCAGTTTGGGCTATGCTGACAGAGACTCTGTCCACGCGTTTTCTCCACTCGTAGCACTACTTGAGGACTCTCCCTCAGAGGTGAGAAAATGTCACAAGACACAGAGTTCCCAGATCCTCACGACTGGGCAATGCCAGGCTAGAGATCAACTTGAAAGTGGGGAGAGGGAGAAGAGGAGTGGGGGCTGGTTCAGCTGGAAAAAAATCAAACCCATATCTACAGGAAAAAGGGGGAAAGAAAGGAGGGAAGTCAAGGCATGCTGCTATCTAAATTTTCTTTCCATTCAAGGCAGATTTCTATACTGTGCAAGACAGATGGTTTTGAGACAATCAACATCCCTGTGTAGGATGCAAAGGAAGCAAGTCTTCAGAACAGAACTGTGCAGAGGGGATCACTTACCTTCTCTTGGGCAGCCTCGGGCTCTTGTCATCCTTTCTCCTCCTTCCCCTCCTGTAAAAGAGTTACAGAAACAGAACTGAAAGAAGTTTCATTGGTAGCGGGCACAGTTTTTGAAGTGTAAGCTATAAAGCAAGAGCATGCTGTAAGAAATGCTACAGAACTCTTCTATGCTTTTAGGCTGAAAAGTAACACTGCACCCCACAAGTCAGCTACGTCCTCTGGATCAAAATAACTGAAGAGTTTCTAAGGAAACACTCTTGTAATAAATGGACAGGTTCCCTAAAGAAGATAAGTAACCAGGCCTCGATGCAAATTGTCCCTGCATCTTGCAGAACTGCCACACCACACAGAAGACCACTCCCTGTGGAGCTGTGGTCCCCATGTTTCTACTACCTTGGTGACACTTTTTCTCCATGACATTGGTGGCATGTGGAAGACCTCAAATTATGCTGCCTCTGCCAACAGTCAGGCTGCCGCTGCACGAGTACCAGCAGGTCTAGTGTGCACCACATTTTTGAACACAACTGCTTAGCTCAAATGCATCTCATCCCATCATTCACAACTCTGCAGACACCAGTAAACAGGTATCAGCCAGCCACAGCCCAAAAGGCTGCAGTTAGAAATTACTAGCTCTTCTGCCATGATGGAGTGAGGAATGTATTTTTTAAAAATAACGTCAACCAGGCATCACATGCCTCACTTTTTTTTTAAACCTGAAAACTGTCCAAACAACTTGCGACCTTGTAATTAAATTCATCCCTTTCCAGACTGCACATCAGCACACGAGATTCTGCTCTTGTGTCTGCTGCAGACAGGCAGCAAGTTATTTCCTCCTTAACTGCAAGCTCGAGAAACGTCAATCGAGTGCAAGTTAGAGACAGATTCAGAGGAAGGGAACATTCTTGAGAAATAAATGCTTCACGTGGTTTGCCCTCAAAACGTTTCCCATTTCCTAATACATTTCTTATGAAGACGTCATTTTGCCAACCCAGTCCAGAACTGACAGTGTACCAGATTTCCTTTGCTCTGCTAGGTAACGTTTCACACTGTGTGAAAAATATCAATCTGCATGACTAGGAAGAAAGGGATTAATGTTCTAGCAGCTATTCTACAGGCCTCTGAATTAACTAAAGCAGCCTATATACCCAACAAGGAGGAAAATACAAAAACAAACCACAACTATGCTCTGTCAGATCAGACTTACACTTACATGTAAAATGCACCCTCCCAAGCAATAACTCTGCCAAGAACACCATGCCTGCCTGATCACATTGCTGCTGAGACACAGCAGACTGATGAAAGTCTTCTCTAGACTGTACTGAGGTATCTTTATTGATAGCAAGACCATGCAATGCCAGAACATTCTGAACTGGCACTCAGTATTCAAGCCGAGCCCTGAGAAGGGGCACTGGTCTTATTATGCACAAAAGTAGTGCCTGATCCAAACAACATAACCATAAGTCTCAGAAAGCTATCTCTAACAGCAAAAGAAAAGTTCTCAAAATGTCAGCATCCTTACTCCTCTCAAGTGTAAATCAGCTGTGTAGCAGTTTAAAAACAGCAAGAGAAATTAAAAAGATGATGTGCAGAGTCTCACACCATAGACCACCAGAGGGAGCCCCATTTGTTCCAACTGCTCCTGGAGGTGCTTATAGTACAGCTGGGGGGCAAGGGGAAGACAACAACGAAACACTGTTGAACACTAGCAAGAATGCAAAATAAACAATACACACTGCTACATATAATGGCTGAGTTTTACTCACTTCCTTGGTGGTTCTTCATCTTCCCGAAACTCACCCTCTTCTTTCACTTCTACTTTAATCTCTTTCTGTTTCTCTTTTTCCTCCTTCACCTTGCTAGCTTTTCTCCTTTGCTTTGGTGCTTCCCTACAAAGAGATACAAATACAACATGTGACTCCAATACTCTTCCCATTGTCTGCTTTTTACAAAGATTTAAACAAAAACTGGATTGAAGTTCAGGTCTATTTATCAAGTCCCATGTCTAAATAGAAGTAGGAACAAGGATTAAGGAAGAACCTGGCAGCCAGCAGGGCTCTAAAGACTTTAGCCTGTTAGATAAAAACAGTCCTGGTAACTGTAGGCAGTATTTAGAAAACATGGTGTCCAATGGAAGCCATTCCACCTTAGGAACTACCACAGGTTCTTTGGGTTATATTATGCTCATTCAACTAAGATGTCACATTTTTTTTCCTAAAACCACAATAAGTACATAAACCAATATACTTCTCTAGATGAGGCCTGTAGGTTTCATCTCTCGGATCATCTTTGAAGGGAACTTCTTCCTCACTGATGAGCATCTCCTCATCATCATCACTGCTGGGAGAAAACAAGAATAGAAGACTTTAGCAGCAACAGTTTAAGAACTACTGTAAGAATATTCATGCATCACTCCCTAGGATAGGAAACACTAATACACAGCGCTTTCTCATTCAGCACGACTGGGTAAAGCTAACAGCTTGCACCAAGGACCATGATAACAGACAAAAGAGACAGGCAAGGTAGAGCAGGTCTCTTCTTGTGACTCACCTAACTACAGCACCTACGCTTGAAGAAATAAAGCCTACCAGGTGAAATGCCAGATCAAATCTTACTGTCCATTTCTCCACAATATTTCCTGACAACTGCAATCCAGACAGAAAATGCAAAGGTCCAGGACTGAATGAGAACAGAGCTGCTATGCATCCCATAGATCCTTTCACAGAAGCATTTATTGTGAAAAAAACTCAGGCCCTTGTCTTCCTTTCTTGAAACACTAAACAGGAAGAAATAGCACAAAATAAAGGTTTTCCTACCTGATTCCAGCTGGAGACTGATGCTGTTCTGTGACCTCTGAAAGGAAAAGTCACCATTAGGTTTCAATCTGTGTTCGCTGCAGTGAGCTCATCTGTCTCAAGAAACCTCCGTCGACATTCAGTGCCAGGAGTGCTGGTGGCAGAAGGTACTCATGACCAAGAAGCACCACGCCTGTACCAGCCACAGTCTGCATACAGCTCACAAAGCTACACCCACATCTAACTCCCTTCAAAGGTTCCCAGGACCTGACTATCTCCAGGCACTTTCATGCCAGAGGTTCCCACGTACCGTACTCGAGCTGGTCTGTGTTTGGCTCCGACTTGCAGACGAGCTGCAGGGAGCCAGTCTTGGATCTGGAGGCCCGGGAGTTCTCAGTGCCGCGCTGGTGGGCCGCGGCTGACCTGCTGCTGCGCCAGCTTCTGCTGGGCCTGGCCGTGCTGACAGGAGAGCCCTGGCTGGGGGCACTGGAAACCTCCTCCTCTTCCTTCTCTTCTTTGGGGTCTGAAACACCCATTGCAACCTCTTTAATAATAATAAAAAGTATAAATACCCTCATTAATTCGCACTCCTCTTTGTTGCACAATGGTGAAACAGAATAACTGACCCTGTCTACTCTGACAAGGAAACCAATACCTCCTACAAGTTTGGAGCATAGCTCTGCAAAGCCAGACAGGACACATCCCAGGGCCTTACTGCAGCAAGCCTTCATTTAAAGCTCTCACCACATTTCCTACTGCCTTTAAGTGAAGTCACAAATATTTAAAACCAGCTTACATTTCCCTCTGACAAAGGCTTGTAAGATGATTACTTGCTGGCTCTGATCTACCCTAAGCACTACAAGATAGACACTCAGAAACCTCAGCAACTGCTTTATGAAAGACTAGCTTCAAAACTAGACCATATTAAAAGTTGTGTTTGGAGAATCCCCCAAACACATATTTAACCAGAACCGTACACCCGGCAATAACCCTGAGGAACCTGAGCTGGATGTTTCCGGTCTTATGCTCAAGCAAAAAGCATCACAAGCACTGTTAGCCTGAGGTCTTTGCACTCACAGCTTCTACAGGTGGTTTCTTTTGGGCTGATGGCTGATGTCCAGACATGTTTTGGCAAGATAACAAAACTTGGTTAGATGTCTATCTGAGCAATTTCATCCCTTAAAAACTAAAATACCCAAGTATAGCTCACTTGGTCTCACTTTTGGTGCTTGCTGTGACACTGGGCCTTAACAAACTCAAATGCCTTTTGAAATTTCACAAACAATATGCTGAAGAAATTATTTCCAAGTAGCTGTCTACACTCAATACACTCCAGGTTTGCCAGTGCTTTCTTTAATCCACAAAGACACCTGCAGGATGCCACAGGACCTGTGCTCTAGACAAATCTTAGACCCACTCCTTTTTATCCAAATACATTTACAGTGCTGTTTAGTTTCAGATGGGTTTCTGCTGCCTAAGCACCAGCTAGCAGTACCACTGAGATGCCTAGAAGTTTATCAAGCATCTGCTAGCAAAGTCAACGGGAAGTCCTCTAAAGACTGGCTGGTCAGCTATGCTGGGAGTCCCTATGGAAAGCAAAGTGCCCATCAAGAGCCAGGCGCATGCACTGCCAGTGAAGGAGGTCTATGGCATCCTGGGTGCCATTCACAGGAGTACAGTCAGGAAACAGAGGGACAGTTAATCCCCTTCATTCAGCACTCATTAGACCACATTTGGATACTCCCTCCAGTTTTGGATTCCCCCAACATGGAGGTTGTCAACACGTCTGAGCAGGCCCAGAGGGGGCCACCAAGATGGCTGGGGGTCAAGCACACATTGCACAAGAGAAAGGTGAGGGAATCACGCTTGTTCAGCCCAGGGAACAGAAAACCTGGGGGAGCACAACAGCTGCCTTACAATGTACAGGTCACCAAGCAGCCCAAATCTCCTTGCTGAGGTACACAGCAAGGAGATGAGGGGCAGCAGTCATCAGCTGACAGAGGTTGGTCAGACACAGGAAAAGCGTTTTTCCCCAAGAGGACAGTCAAGCACTAGAAGACAGGTCCAGCAAGACTGTGTGGCCTCCACAGAATCACAGAACGGTTTGGGATGGAAGGCACCATTCAAGTTATCTAGTCCAACCCCCGTGCATTAAGCAGGGGCATCTGCAACTTGATCAGAGCCCCGTCCAATCTGACACTAAACATTTACAGGGATAGGGAATCCACAGCTTCACCACCCTCAATGCAAGAAGTTTCTTCCTTCTATCTAGTCTAAATCTCCCCTCTTTCAGTCGAAACCCCAACTCTCTCAGCCTGGCCTCACAGCAGAGGGGTTCTAGCCTTCTGATTATCTTTGTGGCCCTGCTCCAGCAGGTCCCTGCCTCTCCTGTGCTGAGGACTCCAGAGCTACCCCAGCCCTGCAGGGGGGTCTGCCCAGAGCGTGGCAGAGGGGCAGGATCCCCTCCCTGCCCTGCTGCCCACACTGCTGGAGGTGCAGTCCAGGCTGCTGGGGGCTTCTGGGCTGTGAGCACCCAGGGCCAGCTCCTCACCCCCAGGTCCCCCTCCGCAGGGCTGCTCTCCATCACGTTATTCCCCAGGCGGTATTGGTATTGGGGGTTGCCCCAACCCAGGTGCAGGCTCCTGCACCTGGCTTTGCTGAACCTTGTAAGATTTTCATGGCCTTACTTCTCAAGCTTGCCTAGACCTGACTGGAGAAAGCCCTGAGCAACACTGTGTTGAACCCGAGTTCAGCAGCAGGTGGGACCAGAGACACACTAAATCCCTTCCAATTAGAAATCTCTAATTTCCCATCAACTCTGTTGAACCAAATGATCCTTTTACTTCTAGCATGTAGTTTGCTTTGCGTGACTGATTCCTCAATCCTTGATTAACAGGGTGGGAATAAACATCTGCATGGAAAAGTTTGACAGGAATACAGAGCATACGGCATCACAATTTCATTGTACAACAGCAAGCAGGTGTGATGTCTTGTATGTATATAGCCACTTCACCATCAGAGCATGAGCTACACCTTTATGGCTTCCTGGTGTAGCAGACCTCACGGTGAGCTACGACTGCTTTATGTTTTTAATCCTAATTGTGAACATCCTCCATTTTTTTGAATGCTAAATCAAATCCAAAGACACTTGAAACCATTCTTTAGAAATTCCGCCTTCCAACGCCACCATGCTACCAGAACTAACACATGTTGCTGCTCTTCAAAGAGGTTTATTCCCTTGGAAGATCAGGCATTCAGCTAATTTCTTAGGAAGAACTAGTATTTTAAAGATTAGACTTACGGAGTTGAAACAAAACACATTTTTACAAAGTACCCCACTCCATTTCTCTGAAGTGAAGGTGTTTAATAAGCCTTTCCCCATGGTCTCTTTTTACTTCTTCCTCTACTTCAGCATGCTTATCTAACATATTAATTGCATTTTTACATGCTGTGAATACCTACATACCTCCAAAAAATCCCACAGTTAGGAGAAGCATTGCATATTTACTTTGCAATAGCTCTCATAAAGCAGTAGTAGCTGAAAATCCTTACAATTCTAGACCCTTCCAACAGGGGGGATACATACAAGGGTCAGAGCTGCACCAAGAAACTTGTACCTGCAGAGTATTCAGCTGCAGTAGCAGCTGGAATCGGCACTCACCAAGGCTTTGCCTGAAATCTAAAACTGCAAAAGGAAAGTCCTAGATTTTCAATAAATTCCATGTCTCCTTCCCACACCTAAATTTCCTTTTTCCTTCACAAAAAACAGCTTTCTGATTAATTCAGCCCACCTCTCCAAAACCAAAACAACAAAGGAAAAAAAAAACCACCAAACCAAAATAGAAAAAAAAACAAACAAACAAACAAACACAAACCCACTAAATACAGAGACAGCAGCTGCCTTAGAGAGAAAAGCAGCTCTTCTTCCTCCTGCTGCTTTCTCATCTAACACACCCAACCTGGCATTAGAGGTAATCATAAGTCTGTCACTGGAGGTGTTGCAATTTTAATTGCATTTGAGGATTCCTCCCCAAAGTACTGACGTTAGGCAGGAAGCAGTAGGGGTCATGCCTGCATTTAGGTTAGGAATGTGGCTATCCCTGTCTCTCTACACCAGTGGAAGGAGTCAGAAGATGCCTACCTCTCCCAATTGACTATACAGGGACCTTATGGTTATTTTCAGTCCTCTCTGAGTACCACACTTGGTTCAGTCCAGGCCCTGTGGATGAACACAGCATTACCCCTCTCCTCTCACAAATGTCTCTACACAGCAATCACACTCCCCAGTTAGCAGGATTTGGCTAATGACACAAACAAGAGAAACCAGAGACAGAAGGAAAAAGTATTGCTATTACAGATAATCAGTCTCTGCTCTTGCAACAAAATAAGATGCTCCTTGAATCTCTTGAGACTGAAACATGGGAACATTTTAAATTAGAAAGGCTGTAGCCAATTCTGCATTTGAGACTGCATAAACTTGTCAACACCACCGGCTCTGCCTAGCTGAAATTTCTCTGGAAGGTTCCTGTCCTCGCAGCCGCCGCACAGAAAATGGATTAGAGGCCAACACCCTGTTATTTCATTGCAAGTGTCAACAGTGGTGATGGAACACCAGGTCATAAGAAATCAAGATTCCAGGAGGAAAAAAAGAATATGAGACGCAATAGGTACCGAGGCACCCCACAGTGCAAAGCAGAAACCAGCAACAAACACTCACTTTTCATATCAGCTGCTATGAAACTAATGACGTGCCCTCCTTTTGGCAGCATCTGCCAGCCAGCTGGCACACGCAACCATGGATTAAGACCCAGCACTGCTGTCTTTTGCCTGAATCACGTTTCACAGAGAGGGGCAACAGAAGCTATAACTTGGCAAAATTAGCCTGCCAAGAAATGCCCCCATGTTCACACTCCCCTGTAACTCCACTGACATTATTATTGTCCACCTCAGTCCACAGCCTCTGCAGGAGTTAGCTTTGGGAACTCCATGGATGCCTGCATCTTACAGGAAGTCATTCAAGAGAGATGGGGAATAACCACTTTCTGAAGTCCTACCAATCCTTTTCATCTTTTGCCTCCTGGAATTCTTCCTACCTTGAACTCTCCCTTAAATTGTCACTGAATGATAAATAGCTTTCCTTCTGAGGTACTTTCACTATTCTGCTGATTCTTTCCAGCAGCCTTTAAACTTAACAGTGTCCAAGGCAGGCAGAAAACGTGTACAGATCTGAGTGATGGTACACAAGAAGCACTGAACATCCTTTAATCTTAACAACACCAGTCACTAGGAGAAGGGAAAAGAAAAAGAAACCTGGAAGGAAACTAGCTACAAAGTTGTAGCTATGCCTTAATTGTTTAGATGACCGAAAGACAAGATTCTGGACACCACTGTGCCTCTTTGCAAAGCTCACCCCAATAGCACTCCAACTTTACTCGGCACGCCAGTCAGCCCAGATTCCACTTCAGATGTGCAGCAGAAATGAACCCTCATTCACACTAATTCTGCCCCTGCAACACTGCACACAGGGTTACTGAAA